TAGCATCCATCTAGGAGGGTGCTACAGATGTTAAGGAGATTGCTGCATTTATGTCTCTTTTACACACTGCACTGTTACTATTTGCAGAATTTTAATTGACCACAAAATGGTGAAGTTTCACAGTTTAGCTATTACAGACTTGAGTATAGCAGAGCATTGTTAACCTCCCTGGAGGTATTCCCAAGTGTAGCTTGAAGTAAAGTTTCAGCACCACAAGCGGTAACCCCCAGCTACACTCGGGAATACCCTGCAGCATTGCTCTGGGATCTCTTCTTCACTTACCTTGTCCTTTGCTCCCGTGATGTCCCTCCTGCAGTGTCCCTGTCAATATCCTCTGGCCGATGCTGGCATCCGTCTTCTGGGTTCCGTTCCATGCGACGTCAGGACGTATGGGGGACGGAACGGCAGGAAATTAAAAAATTTGAAAAAGTGACATTCATTAAATTCACTAAATTCACATAGTAAAACATTACTGTGTCAAACCATTTCACATACATTTTGTCCCTACTGCTTTGTCCTGTGCTCTGCCTGCATTTTTACCGTTCTTTCTGCCTGGAAACTGAGAAAAGTCCATGGCGTCCAAAAAGCGTCCCTTTAGGTCAAAAGCAGTTTTAGACCAGCTAGAGAACAGCGATAGTAAATTAGAACCACTTGCTGAATTGAGTGATAATGATTTGTGGATAAATTTGTCATTAGACACTGAAAACGATTCTGCGACTTTGCTCAGTGATGTGCGAACTTGGCGCTATATTCAAATTTTAGTGTTTTTGGTTTGATTATATTATTAAATTAAATGTATTTATTATATTATTATTTTTTATGATTATTTATTCAATTATAATTTATGATTTTGTGTTTCAAATTTTAACATACCCGGGATGTTTACTAGACTCCTGTTCAGACAGATTACAGTGAGTTATTCCTAAAAATTACAGGCCTACAATAAAAAAAAACTACATATTTCCATGCAAAAAAATGTACCGCTTTGAACACAGAAATATGGACATAATCAGACCGCTAGGGAGGCTACACTTGTATGCTGAAGACAGGAGTGCTGTGCCCGTACAGGCTGAAAACAAACTACGTTTCCCAGAAGAGCTGGCAAAGGGGCGGGAGCCTATATAATCAAAGGCACGGGAACTTCCTGGAGGGAGGAAAGAGACTGCGGGAGGGTGAGAACGTGTGCTGGACACTAGTGTGGGACTTAGAGGGCCCAGGCTGAATTAGGTCACATCAGAGAGGACTACAGATTGCTGGTATTGAGGAAACCCTGCAGTCAGGCGGATCATGGAATCGTGACCAGTATCATTTTGCTTTCAGAGGGACCAAGAGGATAAGGGGGCCCCCCAGTCAAGAGACCGTCCTTCACTCTGCCAAGACTACTACTGGATGAGAGGGTTCCACAACCCAAATTTTCTTCAGTTACCAGAGATCCTTCCATTTTCTGTTATTTCAGTTCAGTTCATTTGCATCACAGTCTACCGTTTAAAACACAGACTTCTTAGCCCAATTCAGTAATGCGGCCTACAGCTTTAGTGCCCCCCCTCCATTGCTCTGGACACAGGACTCCTCCTGAAACTCATATGTTTTTGCAGACAGTAATACTGTTAATACCTCCTCTCCAATATATAATAGCTGTAGAGGAACTTGCTTCATCAAGCCAATTCTCTACATATTGGAATACAAATTCTACTGGAGTTTGCTCCCGCCCTTTCCCCTACTATATCAATCCTGGCCTTCACCTACCTCCACAAAAGGTCCCTTTCTAGTTCAGTTACCATCAGTAAAGGGGTGGGGTGGGTTCCTACTGCTGCACCTTTCCTTCTTCAGGGAATCTTGCTCTTAAATAAAAAGGACCTCAACCCAGATGTGCCCCAACTAGGGCCCCGATAAGTATGCAGAAGAATTTATTTATATACTTTGGAGCAGGGGCGGACTGACAATTCATGGGGCCCCCTGTCAATAGGGGATCATGGGGCCCCTGTGTCCTTTCCCAAGCTCAAAAAAGCATTTGAAAAAGGTACCAGGGGCATCTCATGGGGCCCCCTACTGACCCCAGGCCCTCGGGCAGTGCCCGATTTTCCAAATGGTCAGTCCGCCCCTGCTTTGGAGTGATACTAAAGGGGACATTATTATTTGCAAATTCATCTGTAGAGTTAAACCCTGTTCCCAGCCATTGAAAACCCAAAAGTGATTTAGCTTGATTTCTTGATAGCCTATTTCAGCTCTTTTTAGGAAAAATAATAAGTGCGGGAATTAATGTCTAAACTCTGGTCCTGTAGGACATTTGGGTTTGTTTAAAGTGGTACAATTTTTTTGCTAGCTTTTCAGAGTGTTTAAAGCGGAATTGCTGCTGATTTAAAAAAAAAAATAAAAGTCAGCAGCTACAAAAACTGTAGCTGCTGACTTTTGAAATACAGACACTTACCTGTCCCTCGGTCCAGCGGTGTCCTCACCACCGCTCATTTCACCAGCCGTCTTCTCTCCCCGACGCCAGCATCTTCAGTGTGGGCACCCAGCTGTGACAGCTTGTGGCTTCACAGCCGGATGCCCACTGCGCATGCGCGAGAAGCGCTGTGCTTTGTGAATGGCCCCGTAGTCTTCTGGAACCTGTCGTGTATCCCAGAAGACTACGGGGAGGGAGGACAGCTTCCACTACTGATCAGCTAGGCAATCGCAGCGGAAGTGGGAGCAGGTACCTGTCAAATTCGGGTACCCACTCCCCAAAGGTGCCAATCCTTAACGGGGAGCAGGGGACAATGCATTAAAGTGGAACTTCCCCTTTTGGCTGAAGCTCCGCTTTAACTTTTGAACACGGTTACCGTTATTTCTTTTGTGCTTGCACTATTTACAGTATACTTGGACCTCAATGCAATCAGAGTATCATTCATTTTAACCACTTGCCTACTGAGCACTTTAACCTCCCACCTGCCAGGCCAATTTTCACCTTTAACACTGTATCCATATGAACTTTTTAGCATTTTTTTGAGACAGATAGAGATGTCTTTTGGTGGTATTTAATCACCACTAGGGTTTTTATTTTTTGCTAAACAAATGAAAAAAGCCAAACATTTTGAAAAAAAATGTTTTCCTCGTTTCTGTTATCAAATTTCGCAAATTATTTTTCTCTTTCACTGATGAGGAGGCACTGCAGAGATTGTTCTGATGGGCACTTGTAGGTGGCACTGCTGGGCATTGAGAGGTGGCACTGATAGCACTGATGGGGCTGCACTGATTATCTGTGTGCATACCCCTGTCACACTTGCTGGTTACTGGCTCTGCTTTCCTCACACTGTAACAGCACATGAGGAAAGTACTGACAATAACCAGCAAGTGTGTTTACATTGTGATCAGCTGTGATTGGACACAGCTTATCACATGATAAAGGGCCACTGCGATTGGCCCATTAACGCGATGTGTGATTAGCTGTATCCAAAGAACACAGCAATCACAGAGTAAGCCGGGAGTGCGCCACAGAACAACAGAGCCACCCTGTAGCCGTGTTTCGGCTATAGCATAGTAAGAAAATGTTTAAATTGTGTGATTATTTTGTGCTTCAATGCCAGGGGCTTCTCTTGGTCAAGGTTTTATGGTGGTGTCAGCAGCAGCTGTGCTCGCAAATCAGGCTCAGAACAGATAGGGAACCAAAAATAATCAGCAGTTCTTAACCACTTCCCGTCCGGCCGTTTATATACAAAGGCAGTCTAGGGAGCACGCAGCAACACGATCCGGTGCCCGCCTCCGGACACAGTGGAACACCGATCGTTGTACGGGACCTCTGTGTGAGGTCCCAGTCATGTGATCACTGATTGGCCAATCAGTGATCACATAAAGAGTAGTAAGCAAGATGTCACTTCTGGCATCATTGCTTACTACTAGTGAAATCTGTGAATGATCACAGAGGTCACATGGTACAAGGCTATTCACAACAGCCTTGTACCATGTAACAAGCTGTGACCAATCACAGCTCACACAGTATTTCTCAATGGCTGCAAGAATGCAGCCAGAGAGAAGGAGAAATGATTGCTTTTACAGCCTTTATGGGTGTAAAAGCAATCAGTGTAAAAAAAAAAAAAATCTTCATCACCCCCCACAAGTAGTACAGTGTGACCATGGTGACACTGTACTGCTAGGGTGACATTATGTAAAAACAAAAACCATAATAATATAAAAAAAAGTAAAAAAAATTAAAAATGATAATTTTTGGTTATAAACTAATTTGGGTTATTTTTTTTACTAAAAAGATAACTGAATAATTTTTGGCCAACATTTATGAAGAACGATTGTTTATTTGCAAAATTGTATAAGAAAAACACTTTTTTTTCAAAATTTTTGGACTTTTTCATTTATATAGTAAAACAAAATAAAAATCCCAGTGGTGAATAAATACCACCAAAATAAAGTTTCATCTGTCTCAAAAAAATGCATATGGGTACAGTGTTGCATGACCGCACAATTGTCATTCAAAGTGTGACAGCTGAAAATTGGCCTGGTCAGGAGGGCGTAAAAGTGACCGGACTTGAAGTGGTTAAAGGGTGTAGCCCTCCATAACAAACTGTCATAGTTGAACTCTGATCTGAATGGTTACCATGGACGACCAAGAGCCTTCTCCAGACTATGACACATCAGTCATAAAGCGGTAATGTCCCCAGGTGGCGCTCTCGCCCCGGCAATGTGGACAGGAAGGTGAAGTTGCTGTGTTGACGAGGTGAGCGCTTTCCAGTGCCACGTGCGCAGTGACGTCACGACAGGAGGTGCGACAAACTCGCCGGACAAGTTAGAGCTGCCGGTAAAGGCAGAGGAGGAGGTATCGCTGGTTTCCGGGACTGGCAGGAGCCGCAGTCCACAGTCCTGACGTTGGGGCCGCTCTTTGACAGACCACGCCCAGTTCTTGGTGGTGGGGGATCACGTGAGAAGCTCGCAGTAGCAGCAGGAGTTGCTGAGTTAGGACAGGCGGTGACAGTCCGGGCTGTGTATAGAGCGGCTCACGCGGGACGACCATGACGGGGATCTGGCAGAGATGTGTGCTGCTCCTGATCGTGCTGGGGATGACAGCTGCTGCCGGTAAGAGCCATCCCGGCCCCGGTCCTATAGAGGCAGTCTGATGTCCTGGGGCTGGAGACAGGTGGAGCGCTGCCGCAGGGCGGTGCTCGGTGTTGGGAGGATCACCTGCTCACCTCTCTCTGGATGGTAGGGCAGGGGATGACTACCGATCATATGACCGCTCACTGTGTCATGCCATTCCAGGATCATCTATGGAAACCACCTGGGCACATGAGCTTACTCTCTAATGCTTCCCATATATCCATTCACCCCATCATTGCTTCCATCCCCCGATGGAGCCCAGCAGTTCTCATTGCTTTTGTATTGCCATTTTCATTCCTATTAACTGGTTTTAAAGGAAGGGATCAGTTCAGAAATGAAAGTGATCAGATGTGTTGGAGCGTTCTGATTGGTTTTCAGCCTGTCATGCGTAATATGGATTGATCATGAGATCGCTTTTGATTTTTGTTTACTTTTACCAAAGTGATCAGGTTGGTGCTGGCGAGCTTACTGTTTGTATTTCAACAGATTATCTGATTTAAAAGATCAGTCAGTGTATGGCTTTCATTAGAGCAGCAGTGCCCAACTGGCAGCCACAACTCTCCCTGCAGTGATGACCAAGGTGATGCAGCTAAAAAATTCCGCTCTCACAAATTTTCTGTAAGGATGGAGGCGATTATGAGATCGGACACTGCAGTTATGTTTTTGTGCTGCATATTACTTGGTAAACCGGCATAGCCAGGGCTTTCGGACATTTCAAATGTATTTACTGCTAGTGAGGTTCTCCAGATCCTCCATGGATCTTGTATTCCAGCATTTCAATTTTCAAGAGAAACCATGACTAGGCAGTAGGCATTCAAGTATTTACATTTTTTTTACCAGTTGTAAGTCCCCCATTCATACTGCCACCTTGCGGTAGTGCAGTGTGATTTTGTTCTGAATGGCACCCCAAGGGAAAATGTCACCAGCACACCGAGGATCACCGATATGAGCCCAAACGTTTTAGTGAACGACCACATAGTTACAGCAAGGCAATGTTTCGGAGTATCGCAGGACCCCTGCGTCAGACAAGACTCTGAAACGTTGCCTTACTATGTGATCGTTCATTAAAACTTTTGGACCCATATTGGTGATCCTCTGTGTACTGGTGACATTCTCCCTTGGGGTGCCATTCAGAATGATTTCTCCCTTGCTGATTCTGTTCGGTTCCGGCCGACGGTCCCTGCAGCACCCACTTATACCCACAGCCAATTTTAACGCAGGAACGTGTGCGTTTGGCTTGTACACTTGCATTCTGGATGGCACCCAACACACCTTCTTGGGGCACTTGCACAACGTTCTATAACGTGTGTGTATTACCATGCTCTGCACTTCCGGAAATGCTGCACGCACCTTAGGCAGCCCATTAAAACGAATGGGTTGCCTTAGCTCATCTCTTAACATACAGTACTAATAAACCTGGAGTAAAACAAGCCCTCACTGACCTCTGTAGCTGAAGGTACTGTGGAGTAATTTGTTGAGGTTTACAGTCAATGTCATTTCAGTCTTTCTCTCAGAAGCACATCTCACCCTGATCCCCCGATCTTCTCCTTCACTTTTACTTGTGGTTGTAAGACATCTGCAGGTTAAAGCAGAACTAAAGGTACAATAATCACCTCCTCTCTAACAGTCCAAAGTCTGTGAGGGGTCCCTCACTGGTGGCAGAATCTTCCCTCAGGTGCCAGTCTTCAGGCATGTGCAGGAATCAGTCATCCTGGCACATGGGTACTGTAGCTGAGCTGGGCATACAGCTCAGTTTACACGTGGCAGAAGACTGTGAGCAGGCAGGTAGGTGTATTTTACTGCAGAAGAGACACTGCATATGTTTTCTGTGATAATTAGCCTGCCTGTTCACACACAGTCTGTCTTAAAATACCTTCAAGTGATATTAAATGCTTGCTTTTTTTATTTTTAAACAAACATGTCATACCTGCTTTGCGATGCTTTTGCACAGAGCAGCCCCGATCCCTCTCTTCTCAAGTTCCCTGCCAGTGCTCTTGGCCCTTCCTCCCTGCTGAGTGCTCCCAGAGCAAGCCACTTGCTCTGGGGACAGGGTCGTATTTACCACAAGGCAAACAAGGCATTTGCCTAGGGTGGCATTTTTTTAGGGGGCAGCACTGCCCCCTGGAAGAAGGGACATATGCAGCATGGGGACCAGGTGGGATCTGAGAGAGGCTGCGGGCTGCTTGATGGTGTATGCAGAGCCCGACTGTCGTTCCCAGGAATGTCCAGAGCTGTAAAGGTGAGTGTCTTTCTCTCTGTCGCCGGGGAGGGGGTGTTAGTGGGGCAGGGGTGCTGTTGGTCACTGTCAGGCTCTCTTCTTTGGAGGGGGTCTGGTGCTGGTTGGTGTCAGGCTCTCTACGCTGGGGAGGGGCATCCAATGTTTGTGTTGCCTACGGCAGCACGAATCCTAAATACACCACTGTCTGGGGGCACTCGTGCATGCTCGCTCTGGAGCCCTGCTCTTTGTGTCTATAAGGCACACAGAGCGTGGCTCAGCCCCACCCCCCCCGATGACAGCAGCCAATGGTTCCCACTGCTGTGTCTCAGCCAATGAGTAGAGAGAGACCCAGGCAAGCCAAGGCTCAGGTTAGCATTTGTATTAGAATGCATGAAGGTATAAAAACCCTTTTACAAGTAGTTTAAGTTCCACTTTTATAATGAAGTGGAGGGTCCATAGACAAGGCCTGATAGATGTATCTCTGTATTACTCTGTTTGGTGCTGTTACTGCACATAGACATACATTGCAATGTGCTGGAATTCTGTATTTTCCATAAGGCACAAAGAACGTCTCCCTGTTCAGAGAAAACCCTTCTGTGTCGTGTGTGGTGCCAATATTTCCAGGCACCTGCTTGCCTGCATGCTTAGGCCCTATAAATATACACTTCTTTACTTCCGCGGCTGATAAGAAAATGTTATGTAACGCACAGTCTAAGGGTTAGGGCTGCATGGATGATTTTAAAGTGGACCTGAACTCCAAAAGAGAACATTAGCTATATTACGTGGAATATGTAGAGCCTGTGTTGATGGGCTTTGGCTTGCATTGATGACATCAATATGACATCAGTCAGAGACACTTCTGAGGTCATTCACAATTTATTAACAGGTGAATCAGAGCTGCAATTGGCCTCCTCCTAACCTGTTTCAGGTGGCCTTTGAAATCCCATAGACTTGTATATGAATGGAAACAAAAGCCAGTCAACACGGGCCCTTGGAAATGTTAAATTTGCCTAAGCTGTGCCCCTGACTGCTAGACTCCTGGGATTTGGGGATGTCACCACCATTCTGATCACTGTTGGAGGCTCTGACATTAGAAAGCAAAACCATGCCTCTACCAAGATTGTATGGCAGATCCATAATGGGAAAAGATCCGCTACTAGGAGGCCACAGGCTATACTGGTAACTAGGTTTTTGCCTTCTGCCTGCATTTTTTTAGGCACAGCTGTCAGGCTTCAGTGACTGTAAACCCTCAACTTTTAAAACAACCTGTTCAGATTAAAATATAAATGAAAGGTAAAGCATTTGTGTAATAGATATTAAAAAAAACAGTATAAATAGCCTTTTTAGGTGATCACATTAACTTTTCGGCTTCTTAGGAGCTAGAGGAGGAGAAACAGTAGTACACTGATCTTCCAAGTGAATGGCTGTGCAGGAGGGGGATGTCTCAGGACAAGTATGAAAATTGGAGGAGAGCAGACTGAGTTCCAAACAAAGCTAGAGAACTGACCATGCAGTGCTTTCCTGCTTAGTGTGGTCAGTTTTTAATGGGCAAGCAGAGGTGCTGGCAGGATCACCAGGTATTTCACACAAAGGAAGCAGTACAGAGAGAACAGGATACTTTTTCATACAATTAAAATGTACAGTAGGTACATATCAGGAATCTGAAATGTTGGGTTAACATATTCTTTAATCTTTTGCTACTTAGAGATTAAACCATCCACCTCACAAACACCACATTGGGTATGTTGCAAAGAAGGCTGCTGCAAACAAGTAGTTCAGTCTTTCAGTAGAAAGTGACCATAATCGCCCTTATAGTCCCAGAAGCACATACTCCCCTTTCCTTCGCTCTCCTGCCACTCCGTTCAGCCAGTGGGAGCAGGATAAAATGCAGGGTACTTCCTGGATTTGGGGAGCATGTGACTCACTTGTCTCTCATGTGACAGCATTGCTGCTTGGTGGTTGGCTGTTCAGGTTTTGCAGTGCTGTCTCATAACAGGGGAAGGTTCTCAACCCAGTGTAAGCTCCAAGTTGTGAGTTGGAACTTAGTCAATGCTATCTTTGTGGCTAAACAGAGAACAGGTAAACATATGATGCCAGTGGGACCTTTATGACAAAGCACAAGTTCACTTTATGACAGGGCTTGACAAATTTGCTTTGAATCTTGGAGCCAGCTAAAAAAGTTAGGAGCCAGGCACCCAAAATAGCATGTGCATCTGGCAATAGGAATTTGACAGCAAATTGACAGCCCCATATATCTATATATTCCAATCCAGCAAAGAAACATTTCCATATAGCATAGAGATATCCTCGTCCAGCAGAGACATCCCTATTAAGCAAAAAGATAGCCCAATCCAGCAGAGACATTCCCATCCAGCAAAAAGACAGCCCAATCCAGCAGAACATCCCTATCAAGCAAAAAGACAGCCAAATCCAGCAAAGAGACAACCCCATATAGCAAAGTAATATCCCATCCAACAAAGAGCCCCAAAACATCAGCTCAGCTGACAGGTATAAGAATTGTGTAGCAGCAATCTACACATTCAGTGGGTATGCCGGTCCACAAAAACTCCCCCCTTCATCTTCACTGCCACCGATCAACTAAGCTCTGTACTCCGCTCAGTGATGCAAGATGCGGCCCTTCTCGCAGTTTTAGTGAACTGCGCTCCACCACTGGTCACATGACCTTGATGCCCCACACACCTCCTGCCACTGGCCAAACAAAGGAAACTAGCAGAGTGAGCAGCTCGGGATACCAGGAGCA